AGTCGACCAAGACGATGCCGCTGCGCCGTCGTTCCTCGTGCCACCTGCTGCAACACGTAAATCAGCCCCAAACAGTTAAACGCCATGATTTTCGACGGATACGAGCGGGATCGACAATTCCAATGACAAATCCCGCTACTTGTCTTTTACGCGATTCAATTATTCAATTTTAAAAATTACAAATAATAGGGAACATACAGCCGCAACGATGGATGTTTAAACGAAAGTCGTATACAATATATTTAAAATTATCATATAAAAACGTAGATGTTTCGGTCAAGATTTGAGTACATCAAGATGACAAAAAATTAATTTATTGAGGAAAAATCGAAAAGATCTTGATCTATTGTCTTACCATCTTTTCGACTAGCGATTTTTGCTTAATAAATTAATTTTTTATCGAATAAAGTAAAGAACGCCGAACGGTCAAAGTTAAATGTTACGAATATATTTTTAATCAATTTTTTTTTGTTCCAAATGTGATTGCGCGCCGATAATTGTCGAACTTTCAACACAATCATTATGAAGCATTTTAATAATTCCCTCTAAATAAAACTCTTAAAAAACGAAAAGAAACTTATTGCGAAAAATATTACCTCCAGGATTCGAACTTGGGACCTTTCAACTTGCCGGGAAGAGTGTCTTAATTTTTTATCATCTCGATGTACTGATGGTGATCAAATCTTGACCGAAACGTCTACATTTTTATATGATAATATTAAATATATATGACTTTCGTTTAAACATCTATCGTTGTGGCTGTATGCTTGCTATTATTTATAAATTTTAAAATTGACCTCGAAATTCTCGAATTCTACTTTGTACCGTTCATTTGTCTTTTTGCTCGTTTTTTTCTCTTTGCTTATTTTATAGATTGGTATTCCTAACGGTTCTTATATTTGAGACCATCTTAAGTATACAAGTTTTTTTTAGATGTTTTAATCAATCAAGCCGTATATTAGTATCTTCAGATATTTTTTAAGACGATCTTAAAATAACAATAAATTATGAATATCTAGATTTAGAATTATGCGTATAATTAGAAATGTTTATAAGAATTAGATATATTCAATTTAATTTAATTTGTAATATTACAACTTCAGTTAGCGTTTCAAGACCGACAGATAATAATCATCAGAGCGCAATTTCCTTGAGCTGAAAATTGTGAAATTTATAAAAAGATACAGTGCAGCAACATCCGTTTTGATCAAATATGACCTTCTTCGTTTATTAATTGTTGCAAGAAAAATATTTATAAGTTTTTCGTAGTAAAATTATTCGTAGAAATTCCAGAATTATATTTAAATAATTATAATATAGTCTTGAAATTCAAACTAATAACTGAGATCGACTAGGACGACCTGCCCAGTAAACAAGAATGGATTAAAATGGATTGAAATTTTTTTAGATGTTTCCGAATGCGTATTTTAAATAGAATACTTTTTTTGGATTCAATTGGATGCAATTGGATTGAAAAATTGCATTTCCTATTCAAAATTTTGAATTAAACAGTATTCCCAATGCACACAGAAAAAGCTAATATTATTTTTTAATTGTAAGCCATAGAGATATGCTCCATGCAATTCCTATAAATGAATAAAAATACATTCAGGATTGAAAAGCATTCATTTTAACATTCGTGAATCAATATTTCTGAAAATCTGAAAATCCATTTCAATTTATTCTCGTTTGCTGAATGTAAATAATATTGACATTGACATCGATATATGTCTGTCGTCCTAATACAATAAATATGTACGATGTAAGACAAGGATTATAGGTCAGAGACGATTATCGTATTCCCTCGTATTTATTCGTCTTCTCGAAAGCGTCCCTACCTTGTGCTATGGAATTTTCTTTTCTAAACAATACATAACGCATTCTGTATATACTTGCGTCCGATCGATCGCATGAGGATCGTTTCTCACGCTTTGATTTTTTTTTCCCTTCCGTCGTGTCGCGTAACTCGTATTTCCACGTGCACACGCATAAGGGGGAGAGAATGTGAATCTCGCCGGCAAAAGGAGACGTGCATTACACGCTAAAAAGAGGGAGAAAGAGAGAGAGAGAGAGAGAGAGAGAGAGAGAGAGAGAGAAAAAAACAGCATCAGGAGTATTGAGTTGCAACGGGAGAGAGCATTTAGAAACGATCACTCGCGCGCGGCCATGCGATGTTACAGTTCGGTACGGGTTTGAAAAGATCTTTGTTCGAGCTTCGGAGCGCGAGGAAGTGGGTCCGTGCCCGCGCGCGCGCGTTCACACGCGTGTGCGTGCCTGCGTGTACGATTACGTGCGTGAGAGCGCGAGCGCGCGCTGCCGGAAGTCGGAGCGTGCATCATAATGCCTCTGGGTGCGCCTCGCTCGCTCCGCTCACCGGCTATTTCTCGCTTCACTGGCAAATAAAAAACAATGTAATGATCTCTCGAATTCCCAATTGCTCCGTTACAAAAATTCACAAATATCGCCCGTCGCTTTTTCATCGCAAATTCAAACACTCCTGTTTTCGCCAGGCCGGCGGTTTCCTCTTTTCCGCTATGTTTTTCGTGAATCGATTAAAAATTCGATAAATACATGCAGTTCACATTATTCGATGCGGGACGAATGCAATTTTTGCAAATATGATCTCTACTTTATCGACGAGAGATGTGAGCTTTACTTTATCAGCGGGAGATAAGGTACGCTGCTTTACCGAATTACAGTTCTCGAATGCTGTGAATTAGAGATATAGCGACACCAATCGTATGTAAATATAAGTATGTAAAGATTGATAATTTTATTGATCATCGATATCGAGCGTTTTGTTTATTCATAGCACATTTGAATAATTCGGTGGAATGTTGTACGAAGTTTACTATTGACCGCGTCACGCGAAGCATGTAGAATACAACGGGATTAGAGCCTTTCACTTTTGAGTGACACGAGGTTCTTTTGACGATCTCGTGTCACGATGACGCGCTCTTCGCACTTCCTAATTGTGTCTTATAATTTCGGGGCGGAGCTGAGGAATGAATTTTGAATAAATGACAATGTTTTTATTATGCAATTTGAGAATAGGCATCAGTCAAATTCATGAGGATGTTGGCAATTAGAGCAAATAATTTACTTCCTCTGAAACTGGGAGACTTCAACGACTTGCATAACAGTCTGTGATCGTCTGAGATGAACATTCCATAAAGGCAGAGGAAATTATAAAATTCAACAAAATTTATATACAAGGTTAAAGATAGTATAATATTGTACTTTGAAAAAAAAGAAGAAAACATGAATGAAACCAAGGATAATACGGTACGAGTGGTTTTCATATCCTTACTGCTGGATCTTCTAGCATTTACAATGATACTGCCACTACTACCAGCTCTATTGGACCATTATAAGGAGATAGAAAAGGAACATGGATTGTACTCCACTATTATGTACCGTATGAAGAGTATACAAATATTCTTTGATGCACCGGATAAAGTCAGCACAGTTCTTTTTGGAGGTTGATATTTATGCTTTTATTTAAAAAAAAAAAATAAATTTTATGTCATATATTTTTAAAAGTAAACTTGTCTCGTTCTGCTTCCTAGGTTTCCTAGGATCTATGTACTCCTTCTTACAATTTTTGGGTTCACCAATCATAGGAGCATTATCAGATATTTATGGACGAAAACCTTTGATGTTACTTTGTTTGATTGGCATCTCACTCTCTTATCTTTTATGGGCTCTGTCTGCAAATTTTGGTATATTTGTATTGGCCAGATTTGTAGGTGGCATTAGTAAAGGAAACATCAGTCTGGCAATGGCTATTATTAGTGATGTTACATCTCCGAAAATGAGAGGAAAGGCGATGGTAAAGAAAGATAAACAAGCATCGAATGCATAAATAGCATCTATTTAAAATAAATACCATTCAATTCTAAATTACGTTCTCTCATTTGTGTAGGCACTTGTGGGAATAGCCTTCTCCATCGGTTTTGTTGTGGGACCAATGATAGGGGCATTTTTTGCATGGATTTCTAGTAATAATAGAGAAGGCACATGGTACGTGATACCAGCACTATTTGCGCTCTTCCTTGCCTTAAGCGACTTATTTTTTGTTAATTACTATCTAAAGGAGAGTTTGTCGTTAAAACATAGAGCTACCACTTTGGCAAAAGGATTATCTGGGGCAATTTCTTATATTAATCCTGTTGATCTCTTCCAATTTAACGGAGTCTTGAACTTGAATCGGCAAGGTATTCTAGAAAATATATATGTGAAATATATCAAAAGCGTTTTCTCTTGGAATATATTTTATAATCAATAATGTTACTGTTATCGATAACTATAACTTGATTTTTAGATCAACAAGACTTGAAGATATTGGGCCGAGCATATTTTATATACCTTTTTATATATAGTGGTTTGGAGTTTACTCTGACATTCTTGACTCATCATACGTTCGGATTTACGAGTATGCAACAAGGTTGGATGTTTCTTGGAATTGGACTGATTATGGCAGTTTTACAGGGTGGATGGGTGCGACATATACCTCCGAATAAAACTAAAACCATCAGCGAACTGGTAATGCTAATTTATATCAATCTTCTACGTATCTCTCAGTTGTTTATTTAATGATATTTAAAAAAAAATCTTTTTAGGGTTTATGGCTAATAATTCCCGCATTTATATGTATCGGTGTTGCCTCCAATGTACAGGTGTTGTGTATCGGGATTTTTCTTTTCGCAGTTTGTGAGCATTACATTTATTTCTTATTGCCGATATAAATTAGTACATTCGAATTTATCATTCAAGTATAGTATATGCAATAATACGTTGCAGTAACAGTTGCTCCATATTATCTATTGCAGCCACTGCAATGGTTGTGACTTGTGTGATGACTTTGGTGACGCGTATTGGACCCGAACATCAGAAGGGTGTGATCACTGGTATATTTCGATCCCTGGGTGCACTGGCTCGTGCTTGCGGACCTATCGTCGCCTCTTCAGGTGAATTCAAGTGAATTGAACTTGCAAAAGTGCTTTTGTTTTATTTATTTTATTTTCTTGAGCGCACATGTTTCTATTTCAGCGTTTTGGTGCATTGGAAGTGCCACGACGTACTTAACTGGGGCTCTACTCCTCACGCTACCGCCCTTGATTTTGCATAGAATGCGTACTTTATAATATTTGGCATACTCAAATGTTATGCCATCCGCTGCCTTTTTTAATCCTAAAGGATATAAACTTTATATAAATAATATTTTTATATCTTTTTATACATTCTAGCTTTTACTAATTTTATACTAATTTTTAAAAGAAATTGATATTTATATATTATATGTTTATATATATTGTATAAGTGATATAAATAGTGATATGAAGAAAGTAATAATTTCCATCAAATGTTCGTAGATTCTTAATTAGTTGATAGATTCTTTAAGATAGTTTCTAAACATCACATTTATTATTTATATCTAGCTTGTTATACGTATTAAAAGGCCTATGGATTAAATATATGTACTTATACATACATATACAACAAAATTATTTGTATATATAATGTTATACATATATATTATATATATATAATTTATTATATATATAATTTTTGCGATACAAATAACAAAATTGTTACAGAAAGATATATATAAATTTATATTTGAGCGTTATATACACGTACATAATCTTATCTACAATTGTAAAAGTTTACAATTGTAAAATCGTTAATATTTCAATAAATTAAACTTTTTATATACTACACAAATTATTATTATTATGTTAAAAGTTACTTCCTCCTATGTCCTATAATGTAATTCTCAAATTCTGGTTTGCGTTCTTTTTACACTTTCTATACTTTCTCCGAAATCTAAAGGCCAAACCGAGGACGGATTTAAACATACCGCGCGAATAAATCATGATTTATCGATAAAACGGTGATCTTTTTCTAATTTGTTTATCTATACAATTTGCGGCGCATTCGCTGATTATCTCATCATTTATTTCATTGGTGAAGTAGTGATCGAGCGTGCGGATGAGGAAAACTGTAATCGAGAAAGAAAAACAGACTACTCGTCGTAGTCGTCGTCGGTGTTGGTCAGTGTGGATGTGGTTTATCGATAAATCACGCACAGCCGACGGCGGCGGCGACGTCACAGCGCGGACGCGCGATCGCTTGCGTGATGCGCATGTCCGGCGACGGTCACGTGACCAGTCCCACTCCCACGATCGCCCCCACCGTTAGTCGACGGCGCCGTTTACGGTAGGAAATTCCAAGAATTTCCACCCGTATCGGTTCATTCCGTCGTCATCCGCGTCGACCGACGGTGCCCGACGGCCTGTGATGTACGCGGCCGAGAGGACGGTCGAGGGAGCGGATTGGAGCGGAAGCGTCGGTAGGAGGATTTCTTCGGGGTGTAACTTTCGGGAGAAGGGACAGGCAAGCAGGTCCCGAACGAGCGTTATTGATGACAGCGTGGGTGTGAGTCTGATTGCGCGCAATAATTACTTCTTTCCGCGATTATTGCGCGGCCAGTGCGGATTATAGTTGTCGCATCGCGCGTCTGCGATACGTTCAAGGTCGCCGGCGCGAAACAACAACGAAGAAAGCCGAGCTGCGATAGCAGCGGTGGCGGCGGCGGCGGCGGTGGCGACGACGACGACGACGACGGCGACGGCGACGACGACGACGGCGGCGACGGCGACGATTACGATTACGATTACGCCGTGTCTATTGCGTCGTATAAACGTCTTCGCCGAAAAACATCTGTTTTCAAAAACGAGGGAGTAACAGGACCGACCAGTACCAAGTGAGTTTCGTCGAATTCCGGAGCGGTCTTCGTTCGCTCTTTGCCCGCTATTCGCTCCGCTCTTTTCCTTCCCCCCTTCCTTTCTCTGTCCCTCTTTCTCCTACCCTTCTTCTGCGTTCTTATCTATTTGCGCGTTACGTCTCGAGATACGCTTTTTTTTCTCTCCTTCCTCGACGATAGAGTTTTTCACGAGATTTTTTTCAAGGACTTTATCGCCAACTTTTTTTTTTTTACTTTGGAGCAAACTTTCGTTTCCGTATGAATCTCGCGCGCGCGGCGTTCTTTATTCTTTCGAAGTTCCAATGTGCGACGTCTTCTTCTCGTTCGTTCAGTCGCGACAAATTGTCACAGACGATAAAAATAAATCGGCGAGATCGTTCCCTTTTTTTTTCCTCTTTTTTAAATTAGACGTATAATTATCACGATACCGCGGAGAACAAAGACATTTTTCGACACCTTGAAGTTATGATACAGGGTGACTTTCAGTATCTTCTGATCGAACTTTAGCAACGAGTCATAGTCCTCGATGATCTGAGTAATAATGGATTATATAATGTATCACGTATTTAATTCGAATACCGGGATTCTGAAACTTTCCGTGCGACTGCAACGCGAAGGGAACGTTTGCGAGATCTATTTATAATGATATTCTTTTATTGGTATAACTCGTTGAGATTTAGCGACGAGATGCTGTCGATCGTTTTTGAAATTTTCTATTTTTTATATTAAGCCCGTTCCACCATATAAAATTACCTTCGAGATTAATTTCAATTTCTAATTTACTCTTTATCTGCTTTTTCTAATTTTAAGAATCAGGAAAAGAATAAAGAGTAAGTTAAACCGAGATTAAAATTAATCCCGGTTTAACTTACTCTTTATTCTTTTCTCATTCTTATGCCCGTTTCTATTAATGTAGTTTAATTTTAGTTTTGATTAATTAATCCTTCATCTTTTATTTTATTCTAAGTATTTAAAAAAGGTGAATAAATTGAACCGAGATTAAAAGTCCTAAAGTTAATCTAATTGGTAGAAATGGGCATCAAAGAGTGAGAATTTCGATCAAATTCCAATTAACTTAATCAGTAATCAACAAATACATAATAAATCTCGGGTATCAAGTCTTTCAAATATATAATTATTTTGCATACAGCAGAATTATCTACGTAAAAATTTGTAGCTTAAAATTTTGTCGCCCATAATGTAAATAATCTTTTTTTGCCTCAAAAATTAATTAATGATATAAAAATGGTAGAATTGCTTATTGCAAAATTTCCGTTTTATCGTTTAAATAATAAGTGTCTGTTTTATTGCCTCCAGTTTAAATAGTTTCTTCTTTTTATCAATAAAAAATTAGCGATTTTATTTATATTAATAAAATACTATTAATTGATCAGTTTAATTTGTCAAATAGTATCCGTAATAATTTATCAATATAAAATGAAAAATTTTTCGTCTGACACATAAGAAGAAAGATTAGATTAATGACGATGAATCGTGCAATTGGAATTTCTGTTGTAAGTGATTCGGTCGGGTTGAATTAAAATCGCCAGTTAAATTGATTTAAATTTTTGATCAGAGTCGCCTTTAAGTATCGACTGTTGAGATAAAATATCTGAATATATAATGTAACGGACATTTTCTTTAAATTAGAAAGATTACAATCTCGCAAAATGGCGCTGTGGTTGAAAGCACAGCAGCTGTCGCAAGATTCTTTGCAAAAGGTGCGCAACATTTATGGAGAACATTTCCCGATTGAAGTGAGACATTTCTTGTCATCATGGATTGAAGAGAAGATGTGGTAAGCATAATGTATAAGGAAAGCAGTCATTTTTCGAATTTCTTATTTATATACATACGTTTATATAATATATAAATAAGACATTCTCATTAAAAAACTGCCTTAAATTTATTATATTATTAGTATATCTCAATCTCTTTGATACATTCTCTTTTTTCTATCTCTGGAAAATATGTTTTAAATCTATTCTTGAATAAATTAAACAATATTATCAGGGTTGCTACAAGTCTAGAAAATCGTGAAAATTAGGAAAAGTCAAGGAATTTATTATCAAAGAAAAGTCGCAAATAAGTGAGTGTCACTCTTGCATGGACTCTTTGATTTGTAAGAACTGACTCAGAAAGAGTTTAAATTTCAATCATTTTTTTCTTTTTTTTTTAAATTTTTTAAATAATATTTGTAATATGTACATTTAGCTGTGTCGTTATATCGGAAAAAAAAAATCAATATTTTTTGCAAAACTTATAAGTACGCAAAATTTTTTAATTCCTAATTTCTCGAAATATTACGTATTTAATGGTAAGGATAATATTTTCATTAAAAAAATCAAAAGTTTTCATTAAAATCAGTAATCCTCATTTTTTATAGTTTTTCTTTGTTAAAATATTAAATTATTATTACTTTTTAATATCGTAAAATTTTAATTTTTGTAATACTTTTTAAAATTTTTTTTAAGTATTTTATTATTCTAAACTCTATTTTACTTATATTCTATTTAACTATTTAAATTATCAAACAAAATTTATATATAAAATTATTTAAAGAAGCACTGATAATTTTTTAAATAATTTTGTAGTAAGTGATTTGCAAAAGCTATTAACATAAATTATAATTAAAAGAATTTATTTTATTTTTTGTTTATTTTTTCAATTTTCTTTTTAATAAATAAAAAGTTTTAATTTTTTTTATTTCTTATGTTTTATTCAGCTTTTCTTTCAGTCAAGAAATTCTTCAAAAAGTGATCGGAAAAACCGGGAAAGGTCAGGGAATATTTTTTTTGCTTCTGTAGCAACCCTGATTATGTAATCTAAGGATATTGTTATTTCATTCATTGTTAATGTTGTAGGAATAACGTAGAACCGGAAAACCCACAATTTGAGCACTATGTAAACAGCTTTGTTGGATCACTGATACTCGAGTTAGAATCAAAAGCAAACACTCTTACTACCGAAGACATGTTTGTAACAAAGATGAAATTGATAGAGGCTGCTAGCATGTTCCGAGTGAGTTATATATCTCTTGTGTTTTACGTTTATATTTCATTCATACTTAACTTATTTACTTTAATTGAATTAAAAATGTTACATATCTCTATTGTTCTTTTATTATAGCAAAGATACAGTGAAAATCCAATGTCATTGTATAAAATAATTAGACACTGTTTGGGCACGGAAATGAAATTGGTAGCAGAAGCCGAACATTTAGGAGGTTTAATAAGCAGTGATAGGGTCAGTTTGATGATAGGTGATACGGTAACGGAAATAGCTCATCAGGTCGATACATTACGGCGAAAGACATATGAGACCGGGGAGGATTTACGAAAGATAGAACAGGAGCAGGAGTCTTTCGCTCTTAGTTATCACGAGTGTACGAAACTGAATGCCCATTTGCAACATATCGCTATGCAAGTACAGAATCAGCAAAATATGGAGTTAGAAAAAAAGATTAGGAGGTAAAATGGTTGTTTACAATTTACCATTTAAAAAGTACAATACATTACAATTTCTGTTTATTTATGATATATGATTAATGTTTTTTGATTTAGACAAAAAGAGCAGCAAGATTTGCAATTGAGTCAAAAAGTAAACGGTGTGGTTCGTCTACGTTTGATGCTCATGGAAAAATTGGATGATATTATCAAGAAATTGAATATTTTACAATCGAGAATTCTTGACGATGAACTCATAAGGTAAAAAATGTCGATAAATATTTAAAATTAATAAGATTAGATACAGACTTTTTTTTTCTTTTATTGAATCATTAACGAGCTTGTTTCGTTTAGGTGGAAGCGAGATCAGCAATTGGCAGGTAATGGTGCAAATTTCGCGTCCAATAATTTAGATTCCATTCAGGAATGGTGTGAGAGTCTCGCCGAGCTAATCTGGCAGACTCGACAACAGATTAAAGAAGCGGAACGTTTAAAACAAAAGTTCCAATGTGAACCACCGGGCATTCGAGATACTCTTCCGAATTTAAATACACAGATTACACAATTTCTCAGTTCACTTGTTACAAGTACTTTTATTATTGAAAAACAACCACCACAAGTCATGAAGACCAATACTCGTTTTACGAGCACGGTGCGTCTTCTTGTTGGGGGCAAATTGAACGTTCACATGACACCGCCACAAGTTAAAGTGAGCATAATTAGCGAAACGCAGGCAAATGCTTTGCTGAAGAGCGAGAAAATGGCAAAATGTGGCGAGGTCAGTGGCGAGATTCTGAATAATACAGGCACAATGGAATATCATCAGGTGCGCGAGATTTTTTGTACTTAATGTGATAAGAAAGTAGACAAATATTTTGAAAAGTACCGCTCTTAATATCAATTCAAATCTTCAAAATATCATGCTTATACAATATCATTTTACAGGCAACAAGGCAACTCTCGGTGAGTTTCCGCAATATGCAGCTGAAGAAGATCAAGCGTACTGAGAAAAAAGGTACAGAATCTGTGATGGACGAAAAATTTTCATTACTGTTTCAATCGCAATTTTGCGTTGGCGGAGGCGAATTAGTATTTCAAGTTTGGACTCTAAGTTTGCCGGTAGTCGTGATAGTACATGGTAACCAGGAACCACATGCATGGGCTACGGTAACTTGGGACAACGCGTTTGCTGAACCAGGTAGACAACCGTTCCAAGTGCCGGAAAAAGTGCCATGGGGACAGGTGGCTGAGGCATTGAATATGAAGTTCCGTTCAGCAACTGGTCATCCTTTGACTGATGATAATCTCCGATTTCTTGCGGAAAAAGCTTTTCGAAGTAACGGCAATTCAGTCGGTCAGGATTATTCGAATATGTTGTTGAGTTGGGCACAGTTTTGTAAAGAACCGTTACCCGAAAGAAACTTTACCTTTTGGGAATGGTTTTATGCTGTCATGAAATTGACAAGAGAACATCTGAGAGGTCCATGGATCGACCGATACATCCTTGGGTTCATCCGCAAGAAACAAGCAGAAGAAATGCTAGCAAATTGCGCGGTTGGCACTTTCTTGATGCGTTATTCTGATTCAGAACTCGGCGGTATTACTATCGCTTGGGTTGGAGGTAAAGTATTAAAACATAAATACTATTTAATACAGTGAGATAAATTTTATGTGATAAGATACATGCTATAACTAGTATCTTTCTTAATGTTATCAGATCAAGCAACAGATCATGTCTTCATGCTACAACCGTTTACTAGTAAAGACTTTGCTATTCGAAGTCTAGCTGATCGCCTTGCCGATATGCAACATTTACAGTATCTCTATCCAGATATTAGCAAAGATACTGCCTTCGGCAAATATTATACACCATTTACTGGTAAATGTAATTGGAATGCAATGGACTGAAAACAAAACCGTTTGTGTTGAATAACATTACTTTAAATACGAAGCGCTACTACGGTCTGAATGTTAAGATATTGGATTATTATATACATTCGTATAAATGAGTTAATTTCAGAAATGATAATTGCGTACCGATATGGTTGTCGGACTTTCAACGCAATCAATCTGAAATATTAATAATCCCCCAAATTTCCCAAATTAAAAAACTGTAATAAACTTATTGCGAAAAATATTGCTTCGGTCGGGAGTTGAACCCGGATCTCTTGCATTCCGTGCGAGCGTCCTAAGCCTTTAGACTATCGAGACAACCAAAGTCCGACAACTATATCACGATACTATATTGATAGTCGCGACACGCAATTATCATTTCTGAAATTAATTCATTTATATAAATGTATATAATACTTCAACATCTCAACATTCAGACCGTAGTGGCGCTTCGTATTTAAAGCAATGGACTGATTTTGTGATTAATTAATTAATAGTAATTAATTAATTAATTTCCATAGATAACCAAACTCAAACATCAAATGGGTACGTCAAGCCATATTTAGTAACACACGTGCCAGGTTGGGGTGCTCTGCCCAGTATTGGTGGTCAAACGCCATCGCATTCATCTGTAACAGGTATAAGCAACAATGGTCAAAGTGGTCCGGGCGGAAGTTACCCTGCTACACCACAAACTGTATTTCCGCCACATAGTCCACCAGATCCATCTACGCGAGACACGCCATCCGTAGCATCAAGGTCAGTCTCTTGGATGTAATATCGAATCTTGTGATCTTTATCTGGTATTTCTATTAAATCAATTATGAAATGTCGAAATATGCCTTTACATTCGGTACTTTGTTAGTCTTGAAAAAGTAAAACGAATCTCAGATACATGATGTCCAGTGAATTAAATAAAAGACATTTTTTTTTCCAATTGATAGTGTAATTTTCGAAAAAAATGGTTCTTCGTACTTCAAAATTGTTTCACACACATGTATTTCTTTTTCATTACTTTTTTTCATTACTTTCTTTACGAGATATCACCTTCTCATCGGTTTTGGCATAATTTACCGGACATCTTGTACATTGAACATATCGCGCTCATTTTAGGAATGATAATTTTAAAATGAAAATTCTAAATTTTTCGATTATCATTACAAGCATATAATATAATTAATTATGTTATTATATATATATGAGTAATAATTTTAAAATTAAAATTCTAAATTTTTCGGTTAATACCATAAGCTTGTAATATAATTATGCTACCGTACTAACAGATGTTGAATCTGTTTTTGTTGATGGCACAGAAGATTTTATTTCTCATCATTTGATATTTTTTATATTGTAAATTAAAATGAAATCTTGTAATACAATACCAAAGTACCATATTATATCCCTCCGGCTTAAAGAAATGAAAATCGAAGACAATAATTTATGTGAGCTTCTTGCAAATGAGAACAAGTATTACACATTCCTTGCACTTAACTCACATTTTCATCTTCTAGATTTTCTATTTTTTGCAAAGACGGTCAGTATTTTTTTTTTTTTTATAAGCGTTTTTTGACACAAGGAGTTTTATAGAAGAAAGATGTAATAATAACTGCGCGATTGTACTTTTTGTAAACGTTTTTACGAAATATTGTACGTTTGTAAAACTAAGATAAACGAGCGAAAGGGGGGAAAATGATATATACGATATGCATTATTCAACGAATTTTGTAATGACTGATAGTATGTCTTGGGCGATATTGGGTTATTCGGATATATTGTGTCTGAACAAGGCAACTGTGACGAGAATACAGATAAATAATCATTATTTGCTAAAACGTTCAAAATATATGTGCAAATGTCTGACACCATAAAGTAATAATCATGTTAAATTATCATTTAATATTCTTTTCTCTTTTTTTAAATAATTTTTTGCTTATTTTGACATTTTCTCATGTATATTTATTATGTGTATCCCAGTATTTTTGTCCAATAAGGCTTTATTCATACTATAAGTATGATAACGTTCCAGTTGCTTTTTAATTGTTTGCTGAAATGTTCTTCAAAACACACGCGCACGCGAGCGCGTGCAAACAAGTAGGATTGTTCATATTAGTCAGATATTTAAATCTTGATACAATTGCGTAACTGAAATATATTCTAATAAAAAAAATATTTTATTATAATATATTTTCAGTCTTATCGTAACATAATGTATGGTCTGTTAAAATATTCAGATATAATTGGTATTTTAAATACTGTATGTCTATTTTTGTTATAGTTTGTTACGATAAATGCGTTTTCCAATTTTAATAGGGGCTTTCTTCAAAACAGATTAAGATTTTGAAAGTATATGTAATAATATGATAATTCTTTTTAAAATATTAGGTGTTGGAATTAATTCGTAGCGTTTTACAAGTGATGGGAAGTACTTTCATTAATGTATTTTTTAATGCTCATGTGAAATAAATAACATTCTTTCATTAAAAAACGCTACGAATTAATTCCAACACCTAATAATTAAAAAAAATTTTCATTTATACATATTCATATATACATATATGAATGTACATATATGCAAATGTATACATATATATATGTATATATATATATGTATACATTAGGTGTTGGAATTAATTCGTAGCGTTTTTAATGAAAGAATGTTATTTATTTCACATGAGCATTAAAAAATACATTAATGAAAGTACTTCCCATCACTTGTAAAACGCTACGAATTAATTCCAACACCTAATATATATATATATCTTTAATATGAAAACATATACATATATAAAGTTATATATATTTGTATACATATACATATATGTGTATACGTCCAAATATATTTTAGATTAAAACGTTCAAGAATTAGAAATGTCAAAATAATGTCATTTTGAGAATGAAAGGCAACTGGATCATTATTTATAGTGTGAACAAAGTCTAATTAATCAGCTATCTATAAATTTAGTATTAAAGGGCATTGCTATTGTGCATTAACTTATCAATAATGCAATGTTAGTAATTTGTGAGGAGATTCTAAGTTACTATAATATTGTAAAGTGCTTTTATACGCACAATTGCATTTTATATATCATTAAATTTATATATTTAGTTTATGCATTAAGTTATATAATTGGTAAACATGCGATCTCTGTTTTCTACTTTAATTTTTTAGTATTGTTTATTTTTTAAACACATACATACACAACACACATTGTGTAATTACACGCAAATTTTTATAACCAAAAACATTTAAAAGTTATCAATAAATTTAAAGAACGTAAACGGATACTTTATTTCAACAGATTTAATTCGTTTTTATCGTTGAAATGATTTTGTTTCGACTATTTGTACTAGTTGTTGATATAATCATGTTGCGGACCATTGAGAAATATTGATTAAAAATTAGGATGATATTAATCTTTACGACTGTTAAATATTTTTTCAAATGCAATGATTCATTTTTCTAATGCAACGGCTTATCCATGGCTTTAATGTAGCTTTTATATACTTATACAAATTTTGCATACTGTAGCTTATAATATTATATATACATAGCATAAACATTCGCGTGTTAAAGAGACATTACGTTTAGAAATATAGGTGCGCAGATGTGCTACTCATATAAGATAGCTGTGTCTGTAAAAATGAAAAAAGGCAAAGGCCTGGAGCAAGCCGGTACAACCACAACAGAATGTTCGATACTGTTCTGCAAAATGCAGCTCCAATCACTCGCAGCTGGCAATTGAGTAACGTTATTGCTCGCGAATTCATTAGAATGATATTGCCGTTTCGTTTCTCTCGTGCGTCATACAAGTTGAAAAATAAACAATGGAAAAAGATCATTTACAATTTTTCATTTTACTTTTCTCGGAGACGATAAGTGACCGATCTGCAAACTTAATTCTGGGTGGGGCTCTTGTGGTTGTTATTACGTACTGCCTTCGCCGTGTTGTACCGGCTATCCCGGCTTTAATCGGTCACCTTCGAAAAAGTAGCAAAAAAAAAACGATACATGTTCTCAGATTGAAAAAAAAAGAATGAAAGGAAAGATATGGAGGAAAGAGAGGGACAGATTTAACCTACGATAATTTTGATTATCGAGGATTGCCAGTGATTGGGGTTGTGTTTTGATCTGTGGTAGCTACGCTCCGGGTCTCGGCCAGTCAGGCGTTGGGCAGCCAGGTTCGGACATGGACTACATGGAGAATATGGAGATGATTGGTAACAACGAATTGCCGTCGATTGACGAAAATCTCAACTTGGATCACTTGAGCACCTTCAGCTTCGACTTCATACAGTCTACATACAATCAATCTACCAAGCTGCAATAGGAGGTATGCTTATGAAATACCCCATCATCCCTGAGACGGCATATCCGTGGTGACCGCCGTTGCATATCTAATCTCGATCTTTCTCCGATCTCTATTTATCAGTCACGCCGAAATGCACCGGAGGCAATGAAATGTATCGCGAATTGTTAACAGGGGAGGGATATTAATGTATCCTAGAATGGTACAATTATGTTTCTTTTTTTCTCTCCTCTTTTTTTATAATAATCATTCATAGCCAGTGTTTTTTGTAGTTACAAAATTGGCATTCTTATATCTTAGAAGATTATAGAAAAATCAAGTTGTTATCACTTTTATCTAATATGATATATAGTATGTAATATATCTCTGTTGATCTTGTTCTCTTATATTCAAGTTGCACTGACTGAGCAATGTCTGAGAGTTTTTGCATAAATCATATTGATACGTTGATGCAACTCATTGTTAAATAGATATGAAGTACGAAATATTTGTATCTATTTAATGAATTGAATTGTTAACAAAAATTGTAATTTTTTTCCGTTAATATTTTTTTTAATGAAAAGAGCAATTCTTAAATTCAATGTTTTTATATTCCAAATTCATATTTATTGATTCTTTTATAGGAGCAACCAAAAATTGTTTTTTTTTCATATTCCGTTAATTTCATTAATTTTCGTCTCCTTTTGTACTCTTTATTTGTATCATTTGTTTTGTAACGTTTATCAATGTAATTTAAGTTCTTACACAATATAAAAGAGACTTAGTACAAAGATTTATATATTATTGTCTATAACGTATGAAGTGCTAAAAGAGCACATGTAATTATAAATAGAATTGTATGTCGCTTGTGAATAGCAAATTAAGCAGGTATCTATAATATCTATATTACATATATATAGAATTACGTCTAGAGATTGATATAACAATTATTTTTGTTAAATATTTAGATCATTTTATAGAAAACATTTTAACGGAATAGTATAAATCGTTACTTCTTTCTTTTATAATAACTTCTATAATTACGTATTATACATGTATTTACACGCAATTTGATTTTATGTCTTTAGAGGATTATAAAGAAAAAAGAAACAAAATCTTTATCGCTTGCCTAATTCAAATGTTTGAGATTTGATAAAGATTCGAAGCGAGAATTTTAGAGCATATACTTATACAAGCAATGCATAGACCATCATTTCCACGATCACCTAGTCAAATTGCATTTTGGATTTTGGAAAGAAGGCATGGAAATCAATTAAATTTTTAGTTTTGTTGCATTTTGTTCAGTTATACAGAAAAATAATGTTAAAAGAAACGATAGCGCGTGTTACATAGATTTAAAAGTGCATTGTGTGATGTAATCTAAAATAAGTGCCTTGCGCATTTTTAAACTTTGTATTCTGCAATTTTTCGGCAAGTTCTGCAAAGATCTCGTCGAATTAAGTGTAAATCATTTTAACTAATTTTTAAGAAAATTTTTTTATTTCAGTGATCTTAAGTTTCTAGGATCTACGTAGTATTTCAATAAGACAAATTATTTTTGAAAAATAATTCAGAATGTTCTGCGAAGGTTCTTTGAATTGATATATCTTAACATCAATGTTTAGAATTATTTTTAGAAATAAGGAATATTTCATAGAGTATGAGATAAAGAGAAGAGAAAAAATAAGAAGATTAATTTTCTTACAAAATCTTCTTACTTTTTAACTTCCAACAGCTATAATAACTTTAGGTTATTATAGATAATTACTATGGTGCCCTATTCCCTCCCCTGTATGTTTTACGATATAACGTATGTTACACGTAACACGTATGTTTAAACGTGGAATAAAATATATTGTAGAACAAAATATAATGGTTGTTCAATTATTTTCTTTCTACTTTAACAGATATCCATCTCATGCTGGAATAAAGCGCGGCTTTATGATATATAACTTTAGATTTGTTTTATAAGATACTATTTTAGATACTCTTCTATCACAACAGAACATTTTTCCATCAAAAAAGTTTGTTAATTTATAAGTAAAAAATGGCAAGGCAGGAAAATTGAACTCGGGTTTTTCGTTCTTGATAGGCGGTTACTATAAAGCTATCCAGCAGCCAGCTGTTTGTTACTGTAACTATATTTAGAATAGAATTCACGATTTACTCGACGTACTTTCCGTATCCGAAATCTCGAGAAGATAAATTCTTGATTTCTTCTGCGTTATTAATTCATTAATTAAATTATGAAGAATTAATTAATAGTTATAGTTAATGTAATCATTTCTGTTTTTGACCAGCATAGCTTTTTAGCAATTATTAACTTTCTCAGAAAGAAACTTTAGTATACTTGAAATAAATACTGAAAAATTTAAACAATGTAATTGCTTTTTACTCTAAAACAATTTTATTCATAATGATATGAGATTTTTTTGTCCCAAAAATAGGGAATATCACTTATTATGAGTTTAAAATAATATCTAATAAAATAGATTGCAATTTATCTTCATAGATAGACACAGTAGATGATTTCAATCTAAAAACAGTTAACATGCTGCTGTCGAGGTAGACGAAACATCATTTTGTTTGTCGATTGGACAAGGACATTCTGTGAACGAATTGTCCTCGACATAATGACCTGGCATGGGATAACTCATGTGATAGATCGTGTCGCTGACCATCGGCTGTTCTGGAGTTTGATATTTGCCCTTTCGAGCCCATGGAAGTTCCTCTTTAGGTTTCGGCGTCCACGTTTGGTATGATAATTTATTTATTGTCTCGCAGTCGATTTTAACTTCTGGCCTGGATAGAATGCATCACAAGATCAATTATGACTTTATAATTCAAAGCATGAAAAGATTTAAAAGACGAAACAAGACTCTAATAACCCGCGCTGATTATATATTTTGTAAATATATAGCTAAATCAAATCAAAGTTAAAATGGATAAAGAAATTAATTAGAGTCAAACAATTTAAAGGCGTCCTCGGAGGAAAGAATTTCCTTCTGAGAAAATGAGTTTTAGCTGCATTATTAATGTCTTTTGGACTGTTTAAATTTTACGATTTCGTTTTTTCTTCTCACCTATAATATTCCATAACGGGTTTGTAACTGCGAACAGGTTTTATCATGTCGGGTTTTACATAAGATAATGCGGTAATCGTCTCTCCCTGCAACGGCACATCGACTGTGCGGATATTATCAGAGGGGACGATAAGGTCCGGACGTAACGTCGTTTTCGCTACGTATTCACAACGAGTTGTTGTATCCGATTGCATTTTAGCGGTTGCCAACATGGTCTTAGTGAGCGGCAGACACGGTTTTCGCTTCTCGGTCCAGACTCGTTGATAACTTAGCTGCGAGATAACTCGCATAAGAATTACGAGAGTTATAAACCAAACTATAAAACTATTTTTTATAGTTTTATATAGCGGCTTTGTATCGCGCGACCTAAGAATAATTAAGAAGTTGCACCTTGCTAGTCGTATCGGCGGACATTTTTGCATCGGAGATAGAGATATTGCCGCAGGGAACAAACGGCACCATGCGCTCAACGATACCTGGTAGATAGCTCTCCTTATAGATGGTTTTATCAACAAATTTTGCGCCGTAAGGAAATACGTATGCCGCGACGGGAAGGAAAGGTTTCTGCCTAGTTCCCGCATTCTCCATATAGCTTTCGGAATAAGTGGTCTTGTCGCACATCGTGATTTCCGGTGGCCTTTAAATATTCAGATTAACATTCTTTTTTTATGTTACAGAAAATGAGCATGCAAGAGAGAATATTTCTATAATTGTTACATAATCGTATAGCAAGAGAGAGACAGAGAGAGAGAGAGAGAGAGAGAGAAAGAGAGCAATTTTATTATTTTATATTTAAATTTTCTTAATTAAAATATGATGTAATAGAGCTTATTAATAAATAAGACGATTCTATTTTCAAATTTTATATATATATATATATATATCTTATCGTGACATTACAGAAAATAATTGTACAATATGCCTCTCTCTCTCTCTCTCTCTCTCTCTCTCTCTCTCTCTCTTTCTTTTCTTCTTCTCTCCTTCTCTCTCTCTCTAATTTTATCATTGTCAGAATGAAACACTCAAATTTACATGCGATACATACTTGTACATCGGTTTCTGCGCCCAAGGATGTAATTCTTTCTTAACGACGACAAACGGCTGATAGCTCAATTTTTGTGTCGTCTCTTTAGGAATTGGCTGGCTTGATGGACGGTAGTCTAATATCGGTTTAAAACTAATTACAGGTTCAATAGGCCCTGGAGGAACGTAGGACATTCTTGCCATCGTTTTGTCGTCTAATGGAGCTAAACTTGTACGAATATTTCCACAGGGTATAATCATTTCTGGCCTGTCTATATATTTTGCCCCGTAATCGTGGCGGACTGTCGTCACAGTTTCCATCGCGTCTGTAGTCGTCGTCAGTCTAGCAAAACGATTATATTAATGATTATATTCAAACTTATCCAAACTTATCAAGCAATACAAAATGGATTTCTCAAATTATTTTTTGATCTACCATATATATTCATAATTCTTATTTTAAGATTGTTTTAAGAAATTTCTTAAGATGCTAATACGAGTGTTCTGTAGTCGGTATTTATAATCGATTATATTTAAGAATGTCTTAAGTATAGTCTTAAGATGTTATGAATCAGTCAGAGAATCATTAATACTAAATAAATCCTCTTTTTGTAAAATGTTATAAATATCGATGCAACATAATAATGCAATAGAGATACTTTACCTACGTTTCGGCATGATAGGTTCTGCTTTAACGGTTTGCCATACAGGTTTGTAGGATAATTTACTTGTTGTTTCATCGAAAAACTTGCCAGTACTTTTCTGAAGGCTGTGCATAGGCCGGATTGGTTGCAATCGAGCGCAACGCGCCGTTTCACGATCCACATTTAGATAAGACAAGTGATATGTCGTTCTGTCTTCAAATTGCGTCGACGGTACCTTGTATAAGTGCTCCGGTGCATAGGATTTTGCACGTGGAGGCTGTACGTATCTTTTGTACTGTGTTTAATAACATAAACGTTCAAGTTGTATAAATATTAATAATATAATTATATATTGTATATTATATATCAGCATATAATATACAAGTGTTCAAATCTTAAAATTGCACAATCAGCCATTAATAATTATAAGTTATGAATACATTAATTTGCAATCTATCAATAAAATCATTATAACGGAAAGTTTAACATTGCATACGGTATATCAGACATAATAATAATGATTTTTTTAATACTGTTATTATTTTAAAAGCATTAAAAGTAATTGATTAAAAATTTATAAGATATTGAAAATATTGACGAGACAATAATTACTTTTGTCTTGCATGGACATGTCGTTTTGGTACATGATGGGGCTTTCCTCTTTGAGCAAGACTCAACAATCTCCATATTGCTTTAATCCCTTTTCTTATCGTAATTGTATATATGTACAATGCACAATTGCATCAGTATTATTCTGCATAAATGGTCTAATAAATATTAAAATATTCAAAATAATATGTTGGAATCGAAGTTTCATTACATTTTAAAAATCTGATTAATATACGCCTGACACATGGTTCAGAACTAACTTCGTGTTGTCCTCGTCGTAAAGATATGTCGTTGTGATCATGGTGTCAAGAATATTTACACCATGGTTGTGATATCAGTTTAAAACTTGCATAAAATTTCACATGATTCTATTTTTCTCACGATACCATGTGTAGTACAAAAGAGAAAATAGGCAAAAATACAATTTCATAAAAATTGCGCTAGAAATTCTATTTTGTCTACGTATTCCAGTAGCAAATTTCATTTGTACTTAATGTTATATATAACTACGTGGAATTCCTGTTGTCAGTACATATGTGACGTGACGTGACATGCGTACCACAAGCATCACAGTTGTTTAATTACCAAAAAATTTATATAACATTTTAAATCTTTAGTGATCAACACCTTGTGGATTGAAATAACTAATGTCATTTTCTCAATGTGTGGAAATAGATGAAAGAAAATATCATATATTAAAATACGAAGATATTTTTATCTTTCAACTTTTAAGTTGTAGTGTGACATTAGTTGTTTTCTTAGGTATTGATCTATGCAGATTCTTTTCGCAGTACCGATTGGCACAGACTACAATGTGTGCGCGCGCGCGACTGTGTGTGTGTGTGTGTATGTGTGTGTGTTGTATGTCTGTACATGTATGTGTGGAAGACGAGAGACATTTCGTACAACTTGTATATGTATCTTTTTCGTGTTCATGAAGTATATATTATATCTAAATATCACGCGCCCTTTTTTACACTTTGTTCGCCTATCAAGCGATTAAAAGAAAATGTGTTTTAACATTATATATATAATATATATTTACTGTATACAATATAGTTGTACGAATATCTTATATCCCGATTAAATTGAGATAGAGAAAAAGATTATAAATATAAGACAGCCTAAAAAGAATGACCATGTCCTCCCGATCAAATTGCAGCCGCATTGCAGAAATAAAACTTAACAGAGGTAGGATGAACTTAGAAAAATAAGTAATAACATTTTTTCGCGGTAGAAAGGACAATGACACTGATACCACTGACACTTATTCACGAGCACTAGATTCAAGTTATGAATTCTCATTTTCAACACCAGGAGAAGAATGGACTCTTGTTCTGGAAGCGCTGGGTAAATGTGTCAGAGAATGAAAACAACCTAGGAGTGCCATTTCCTTTGGCCCTAGAGCAAAACAGGACATATTTTATAACATTGCCATATTAGGCCAGTCGTCAGAGATGAAAATGGCGGTGAAAAAGGAAGAAATTATTTATAGATATCTTATTGTTTTAATCGACAGTTTGAGGTACAAAAAGAATAAACTTTTAAATATAAATTTAAAAGTACTACAACATTAAGAGGGAACATTTGGTAGTAATTAAGCAATAAAGTTTTTTTTTTGGTTTTTCAATTAAAATTCGAAAACGAAAAGAGATTTCGAAAAATGACAAAAGAGCTTTTTTGTTAATTATACTTTTTTGTTAATTAATACTTCCAGGGATTCGAGCTCCAAAGTGGACACTTTTTTGACAAAATTCGTCCATTTCGCATATTGTCGTTTGATATTTTTTTTTTTTTTCGTATATATAATGAATTAATAATTAACAAATCTAATATTAATAAAATAAAAATAAATTTTTATATCAATGCATTGTAATATTAAGAATGATCGCTTTACCTACTTTGGAGCTCTGGAAATATTAATCATATTGAGTTCAATTTAAGCTCATTTTTTTCAGTAAGATATTTACTTTAAATTACCTTATGTCACTTTTTACTCTCTGATGCACTCAAAGCGACATAGAAGGCAATAACTGAAAAAGTATCTATTTTTGTCAGCTTTTCAAGAAATTTCACTCATCTTCAAACCATTGTATTCCGGTTATCCGGTTCTATTCATAGTACAAAGCTTGTTGCTTAAAAACTCATTTTGTAGGAAATTTCAACAACAAAAAAGATCTGTTGTCATTTTTCGATATCTCTTTTCGTTTTCGAGTTTTAATCAAAACCCTTCCCAAAAAAAAAACTTTATTGCTTAATTACTTTCGAGTGTCCCCCTTAATATTGTAGCACTTTTAAATTTAGTATTTTTATAGCTCAAACTGTCGATTAAAACAAGTACCTGTAAATAATTTCTTCCTTTTTAAAACCTCTAGTGACTAATCTATATATCTAAAAATATAGAAGCAATAAGTAAGAAAATATATACTTTTCCACAATTACAGCCGGCATTTGTACCAATTGCACGGGACTTTTGGCGTCTTTCAGAGCTTGTTGTAGATTCAAAATTTGGCCGCGCATCACACTCATTTGCCTATCGAAGTGATGTCGGTCGAAGCCCTTATCTTGCTGCAGAAACAAATAAGCAATTATATTTGTGCGAGATTATTATTGCATAAACAACAAATGGAATGAAATTCGCGCTTGTTCTTGTCTCGAATAATATATACAGCATACTTTAAATAGCTGATACAAATCGTCGCAAAGATCTTGTACGAAATTCTGATCCGAGAGTTGCGGCAGGACTAGCTCTCTTGTGACATCACTGAACGGCTGTTTCGCCTGAGTTAACCATGCCCAGTGATAAGGATATGCTCTCCATGAATCAGGATGTTTAAAGGGAAAAGCAAGGCCGTTATCGATCGCTGCAATCTTCACTTCACCCTGTTCAGTTCCATTCTTGCTAACGCTAATATCGTATTTAATCAACCAATTGTCATTCCCTACGAGCGAAATATCAATCATGAAGAAATTCACATAACTAATGCTAATATAGACAAAAGTGATTTTAACGTTTACCTCTGTCTGTATTTCTGATGATATAATCTAGAATGACCAAACGCTCAAATTGAAGCTGGAATTCTCGACTCAAGTGTGCCGGCATGGACTCGCTTTCCCATCGCCTCAGCCAATAATCGGCGTCCTTGTAACCGTCTACAAAAACTTGAAAGGAACCAACTTTTGGCGGTAGACCAATACGATTAAAATGCGACCCCACTGTAGGGAACTGGTCCATAATGGCTTGCTTCATACGCGCTTTCTGACGATCCAGGCGAGGATAATTGAAAACCTCGCTAACGAGTTTCACCACTCTAGTATTTGGAACAATACCGAGGCTCAGCTTTCGATCGACCAGGCTGGCACCTGCTTCGCTTAAGTACCCCTGATTTGGAATTAAGCAACTCCTGCCAAAACAGCACGGACAGCAGAGCTTGTGCATCCATTTTGTCCATTTTGGATTCAATCTGCCGTAAGGTTCCTCATCTTTCGGTTTGAACACACCTATAATTTTCTGACAAAACAATATATTTCATGAATCATTTATGTATCATGTACGGAATTACATATCGCTATACTTTACTGAATCAGAAGCAACAATATCACCTAACTTTCTTATTTTGAGCAGATTAGAAGTTGGAGCTTACCCCTGCTGGATTTTTGACAAAATAACTCCCACTGGAACCTTGATATATCCTTTCTGGATAAACTCCATTATCTATTGCACATTCAGCCTGCCACACCAGTTCTGAGAACTGTGGATCATCTACAAATATATATATATATATATATATATATGTCAAATGTAATTTTATATATGATAATTATGACAATTCTTAGAAGGTCACTAGATATTATGAATCATCAACAAATATATACAGCTATGAAAAGCAAGAGGATATCACTATGCGTTGCAGCTGGACGAACCTGGAAATCTATTAAACATAACGTCGAGTTCCAAGCGACCAAGGAGAGGCTGGCTCTCCCGGTCGATCCCGGAGGAATCTATGGCTAGGGTTTGGTCGTTGCTCAAACTAGGAATGAATTCAATGTCGGGAAGCAAATCAGCCGGTGACGGCGGCTGATCGTTGTGCAACGACAGATGCTGATGGTGGCTGCTACTGCTGCTGTTGATGGACGCGATGGACAGATCCACCAGCGCATCGGTCTCCACCAGAGCGGTAGCAGCGGCGGCGGCAGTGGCAACGGCAGCGGTGGTAGCCGGGCTGCTGTTGTTCTGACTATGGTACTCTCGATAAGGCACGTGTAGTTGCCGTTGTTCGGAGTCGCTCATTACAGACTGCTCACTCTCGTGACGACGATCCCGCTCTGCGAGGATCTCTCAAAGCGGACCTCACTCCGGTTAATTCCTCCCGAGTTGACTCGGAGTCGGGTTTCTCTCTCCGAGCCGATGGACGATTATTACTCTTACGACATTACGCGTACTGCTTTCTACCTGTCAGCGACACACGCCCGTTCTCAGTTTCTCCCGGTTGCTACGGTTATACGTATACGTACCAACGTGCGAGAAATACGTTAGCATCGTCGTCGATGCGTCATCCGGATCACACGTATTCTCACACACGTAACGTAGTGTAGGTAGGCCAATACGCGCAATTTGTTGTCGACTGTCGACGGCGAGGATGATGACAGAGCGATAGGGGAAGAAGGGAGACTTATTGCGATCTAACCCGATTAACCAAAATACAGCCCGTCATCCTAGCGGCGGATGCTATCAGCTGATAGGATTACCGCCATGTTTGTGTGACGCGTATGCATTTTCTCTTTTCTCTCTCTCTCCTTTCTCTCATATGATCCGCTGGGATCTACCAGGATATATTACAGTTATCGCCTTTTGTATTCACATTCGCTGCGACATGTGATCGATTCGGATTTAAATAACTGCGGTAGATGCGAGTATAGTCGCACTTTGGATTCGGAATTTTGGGAAAGTTATAACTGTTTATGCGATTCGTCTGTTATGCTGATAACTAATCGTCCTTGTGTTCATTTTCGCTTTTTTTTCTATATATGTAAATAATAATGGAATAACATATCGTGTTTAAATGCTTGCACAAAATTATTTTTAATGACTTCGAAATTTGTTTTAAATTCTTTTCGAGAGATGTACTCGATAAAACTGAGTAAGAGAGTGGGGGAGAATAACACGTGTTTGACACGTGCGAAAAATTAAATGTATATAAGAAAAAGTATATTGAAAGATATAAAAATAAAATTATTACATAATAGTAAGTTAATCGATAAATAAGCAGTGCATGTCACTGACCGATGATCATAATGCACATGAGTTTAAAAAATATTTATTTATAAAGTTTTCTTTTTGTGTGTAAAGAACGGAGATAAAATAGATTGCTTTTTACATTTTTTGAAAATTAGTTTATTAGCGATAAATTATTTTAATTCATTTCATTTATCTTATTTAATATTAAAATAAATATAATTCGAAAAGTGCAGGGAAATTCAGAGGACATTTACAAGATCGTTTATGTAATTAAAAATTGTTAGATATAAACTACGAGATATACATATCTTAAATACATAATATTGGCCTATTTCTAATATTGCCTTTTGCGTCGTTATTATAAAACATGCAATTAGCCAAATATCGATATAGAAGTATGAAATAAATATATATATATATGAAACAGTGTAATATATCACATATGTCTTACTTAAACTAACTCTATACTTAAATATAAATCAATGCTGTTAACAGTAAGTTTGAGCAATTAATAATACCAAAATTTAAAAAAATTTACATTATTATCAATTTTTCTTTTTCCAGTGTCAGGATTATTCAATTAAATATCCAGTATCATGAATTCTTATTAAACGTATCAGTTGCGCGTATCATCAATTCTTAGTGTTCGAGGATATATGTATGTAATAGCAGCATCATGACAGACTTGAAAAAAGATTTCTCATTTTGCTTGTTGGATGCTCCGTTTGTAAGGGACGTTTTCTTGGTGTTAGGTTCAATCCCTCATAGTTTATATTCGGCCTATATGATACGTTTTCTGAAAGCATACAGAATCGTTATTGTTTTCGCCAAACTATAAGGATTTTAGGCATATCAAAAGTCGCGGCAAACCTCTAGAATGCTTCAAGTTTAATTTAGAATGATGTAGCAATCGAGAATACAAGGGTGAAAGCGGTTTTCCTTTGAACAAGATTTGCTCACACTTAACCGAGTGTACGCGAGGAGACAGCCATCCGCTCATATTGTTCCAAGACTTGCTCAAGTCCAACAAAGTTGCAGGTAACTCACACAATGGACGATATTCTCGTCTGTGCCTTTTAAATAAATGTTTGTATTTGCCTGAAATTTAATTCTTGTGATGTTCACTCTAATTTCAAAATGATGTAATTTTAACGAACAATACCTTCCATTGGAGATGAACACAACCTCTCATAGAAAAAAGTATCGTCCATATATTGATTAAAATTGAAACTAATTTTCGGAAATTGCAGTGAAATATAGGATTTTACTATTGATATATTGTTCGCGTCGAAATCAATATTATTTATTTTTCGAGACCTACGTTGCTCATTTTTGCATATATTGTCTATTCTCGTGTTCAGTATGCTGAATAACCTTTGCAAAGATTTCATTCTTTGGCAAGCATTCTGAACGAACAGCAGACATTGCGATAGATCAGAGAGATTGTCGATGTTTTCATGATGTAATATTTTTACAAATACCAAATGTAGCAGCGATAGCAAAGAGGAGAACACAATGAAGTCATTCGCATACAAATTGCGAATTAAATGCTTAAATTAAAAAAAAAATTATTAACCACAAGAACTGTATGTATGACATTTTTATTCAATTACCTTCTCACATTGTGTATATAATAAATAATTATCGTAACAAATTTCAGGAAATTTGTTTGCTTCGATTGTCCCAGAATTCGAGTTTATTCTCAAGATAAGTTTGCATAAATGATTGCAAGATTTCTCTAATTCGTTCAATTCTTTATTTTTTTTATGCATATATTGGACTTTTTTGAAAATATTTCTTTTCCATACTGCACCGCAAGAAGAAATGTCATGAATTATTAATGACTGCATTCAGCAGAGAAAGCAGCTTTATACTTTATTGTTGTAATCTATTATTGTAAGATTTTTTAATATGATTTGTTTATATATTTAGATTCAGTGAGAAACTAAGAGCAAAATCAATCATATTAAGAAATTTTAAAGCTACAAAGCTGCCGTTTCTGTAGAGAATGCAGCTAATGAATAAATCACCAGGAAAATATTTATCATATACTAACAGTACATATACATACAGTATATGACATTAGAATCTTCGACATCTATCAATCGCTTTTGGATTAATGAATTAGCTGGCAGATCGAGCACTAGCCTTTTTATATTTTCTTTTCTGTCAAAAATCTCAGATTTATATGCATTCAATGTCTCGATCTCATCGCTAAAATATATAATATAATTATTATGTAAGTTAATGTATCACCATTAATTACAAATGAACAAATAATAGTGATTTACTTCAGAAAATTATTTGCAGCCTTCAGTGTTTTCTCCATCTTCTTATGAGTGTCTGTCATAATGCTACATTTTTGTGCAATTGTGTTATTGAAGTATGTTATTATTAAACTCTGTATTGGACTTGTACATGGTGCGTTTAACAATTCTCCTTGAACTGAAGAAATTCGGATAAATAACGATTGATACAAAAATAAAATTCTTTCTTATATTAATCACATATTACATATTTACATACATTCCCTTTTCATATAAGTCCTAAGAGCGAGTTGCGATAGTTTCCACATAATAATTTGAAATTTAATTCCTCCTGACTGAAGTAAATGGCTTATTAGTATCGATGGGAAGTCGAGATCAGAATTATCTCGTGATACGAGGCACAGGAAATTTTTCATTTCCACACGGTATGTTGCTTCGTCTTTTTTGCATGAAATCGGCCATTTAACCATTTGTTTAAACAACTTTGTATCATATATAGACGATAGATAATGTGATACATGCAGGAAACCCACTGTATTAGGTTTGTTAAACATATCCTTAAAAAAATACTTGTATTTTATATGTATATATAAATATATAATTTATAATTTAGTATTGAAATTAATATAATAAAGACTTATATTTTTAATAAATGCTTTTATACCTTTTTAAAGTGTTGTCGAAACTCGACTGACGGCGATATAACTTGTATAAGTAAAGATACATTTTTGTAGAATGATGAACTAATGGCTGTAATGATTTGAATTTCTTTTAATTTACTCATTACGTACATATGACTTCAATTAACCTGTTTCATCCGTGGTATTTATTTATGTTACAAAGAATGTTATCTGAACACAATTACATCTACAGTTAAATCTACACAAATACATAGTTGTTTCAAATATTTTGTTATAATGTTTATATACGTGCAAAGATATGGTTGTCGCGCCACTCGCGCTGTACTTTGTAGTTGAACTATTTGCACTCTTCTGCACTCTTCATCTTTCTCAGTAGATCTGTTCACGTTGTTTGCACTTTTTGCACTCAGAATGTCAGAATCTTCGCTTTCTCTCTCTTCAATGTACGAAAATATGATATTTATTTATTTCTCGCTTTAAAAATACAATTTTTGGAGATTTCAAGTAACACGAACAGACCTAAAGTCTTATCAGTTTTGGAATACAACAGCGACGTTTTGAGGTACAGTGGCGATCTCTTGTGTGACGTAGATGAAATGAAATTTGACAACCGCATGGACCACGATGAAAACGTCAAAATAAAAACGTAAGAGTTCTAAACAATAATAAGAGGATATGATTGATGAGAAAACCAAAGGAAATATAAACGATCAGAGATAATTATGCATCAGAAGAATTAGAACAACAAATTAAAGGTACCTCTTTAAAAAAAAAATCAGAATCGAGCAACATTTTTCGGTTTATCAAACAGCGGAGAGATGTTTATAGTCACGAAAGAGATTGACAGTGAGAACATCAGTAAATTGTGCCGCACATGCTTGCGGGAAGACGGCGACAAAATGGTATGCTTGTTTGTGGGACCAGCTGGTTCCTCACTCGCCGCTAAATTACGATCTCTCTCTTGTTTGGAAGTAAGCAGCACATTTGTCTTATATCGAATTTAATGGATCTTCTTCAAAGATTAGGCTTGTATTTTGTTTGAATATTTTTAGGTCTGGCAAGGAGACGGCTTGCCTGAAAAGATGTGCGACCGTTGTGTCACCAGAGCGGAATCTGCTCTTTTGTATCGAGAGCAATGTCGCGCTGCCGACAGGGCTTTGAGGCAAGCAGCGTTGAAGGTAAACAAATTTTTGTTTTCATGTGTGTATATATATATATATATATATATATATATATCCAGTCTATATTCAATCAGTCAAGTTTGCAGAATTTTTTTGTAAACTTGACTGATAAATTTTGTTAGTAAGAAAGTTAAAAATTTGAATCAGTTATATAAGATGATCTGGGAGTCGATTGTAAACTTGAGATGTTGATCAATGAAATTATAAATATTTTACTGAATTTGCTCACTTTTGTAATTTTCATTCTTGATTCAAGATACTCAACTAATCTTCTTCCTATTGATGATAAAATATCAAAAAAATGTAATAGTACTTATTTATGTGATTTGACAGCAAATTGATGGTAAAAACCAAGCAGACGAGAGCACGTTTAACAGATTAACAACTGAAATCGAGCAGAGTTTGTATTCGATAGATTCTGCTCAATTTCTGTAACAAATGTATTGTTAAATTATATT